ATTATTATGCGTAGAAGTTAGTTTGATGACGTCATTTGGTTCATTGATTTGATGTGTTATCCTTCCATTTTTATGCCATGCATATGTCATGTATGATCTTATACACTTGACTGCCTTATCTAGGGTGTTTAAAGGGGAAAACTGTGAGGTGTGTTTGAAATTTATGTTAATTAAAAAATTACTTAATCTTGAAAGTAACACATGCGTCAAACTAAGTCTATTAACGTTAAACAATATCAGTCACAATGACAGTCATATACTATTAGTTGTACGGATTTTCTTTCACTAATAAAACCTATCATTACACTGGTTAGCGAAAATGAACATGTTTATTTTAACAAATGTTTTATTTACCTTAAAAGTAGTTAATTAAGTCAAATACACATAACCAAACTAATCTCAAATCATTTTTAATCAGAGTAATAATAACAAATATAATGTAAACTTCATTTAATATTGCAGGTATTAATAACTTTTTCTTTAAATCTGCCTTCCATTTTACGTATATATCTATATCAGACAGTAAAACAAGAGCTTAAATTTTTTTAGTTACCTTAGACTAAAATCGGTTCTTTATAAAACGCACCCCATGACTTTTAGTCCACAATTTTGATCAATGCTAGATCTGCAAATGCAAAAATAATTGAATTCAATAATGACATAAAATGAATTAACTCTTATGTACATATATGTCAATAAAAAACATTTATGTGGTTATCAATATTTCAAAGCAACAAATGATACAAACTATTTTGAAAACAAATAAACCAGTGAGGAAATGGTCAGTGTAAGAAACTGGAAACACTTTACTGGTGCACGGTATGTTAAAAAAATCCCTTGATCTATGAAGAAGTTATAGACCGGACACAAAAATACCCTATAATTGACTATGTTAATCTTTGACCTCTAGATGTGACATTGACGTTGTAGGTAGAGGTGCTGGTGTTGCGCATGACACATTCTTATTAGTGACATTTTTTGCCAAGTTTTTTCAAAAATCATTGATCTTGAAAAAAGTTAGGGCGACAAAATACCCTATAAAAGACTAATGTTAAACTTTGACCTCCCCAAATTGACCTTGACCATGGACACATCGTCTTATTATAACAAACATTTGTGCCAAGTTATTTGATAAATTACAAAGTTTTGCCGTACACAAGAGTGTGACAGACGGACAGTCGGGGGGAGGAAGGGAGCCTTTTTCTATATCTCCCTTTTTCTTCGAAAACTTCGAAAAGGCGGGGGACAAACATCAAATGGAGATTATTCTAGAATTACAGGAGCTAGAGTTATAAATCTTATCGCACCTGATATAGGTTTGGTAAAAAAACATATTTCTGAAGTCTTAATTCATTTAGGAAAATAAGGGGATGAGGATTCTGAAATATTGATGCTAGATATGTGAAGTTTGTCATGATATTGTATAACGTTAGAAGTAAGTTCGTTCATAAAAAAAGAAGTGTAAGGAATCAATATCAAGTTTAAAAACAAAATCCAAGTTCAAGGGGAAATAATTCTGAAAATATTCATGTTGATTTATGAATCTTGTCACACATGATAAAAATATATTTGAAGTTAGAAATAGATACCTTAAGAAATAAAGAAGTAAGTAAACAATAACATTTTACTTTGGAACTTTATTCATTAAAAAGATGAAATTCACATATTAAGGTATGTCCCAAAATAAAATCATTGTAGAAGCCAATGATTATCTTGTAATATAAAGTATATTTACACAGAATTGTTAAGTTTCACAATTCAGTTGTTATAAAAATGAATGTATCTTATGAAAATATACATCTACAGAAATTTGATCCTACAACGTTAGGGCCATTAGGTAAAAATGCAGAGGACCAATTAATGATGAAAAAACTCTCAACTCAGTGGACATGTAAATGTGAGATATACACTAAATAGTGATTTAAATGAGAAAAAAAACTCAGCTTTCTTGAATAAGGAAAAGCATTACCTTTAAACAAGTATATGTATAGCCGATTCATTGTTTTAATTGACTCAGGCCTTATTAAAGTTTATTATTTTAACATATTTTATAATTATAGACTCCTGCATATTTGAATCCAATACTTTTTCCTTCATATTAAGTCTCATAAAAATGATTTCTTTACAAAAGGTATCAATGTACATTATACATCAAATATGTACATATACATTTAGACCGTTCTGGAAGAGTTGAATTTTATATTTGTATAATTTGTATGTTTATCTCAACACTTTCAACGTACATCAGCTTAAGACGTTGACTGTTATATATACATTGTATATATTGATGAAAGTTTCTGCTAAGTTTAAATATAGTGACGATATAATGAAACAGACTAGAAATGTTGATTCAGTACAGTTGATTATTGAATTATTGATTTTTATAATTGCAAAGTTTAGATTTCTTGTAACGTTTGTTTGATTTAAATTCTGTTGAATGCTATGGATCTATCAAAACGGTTCGTATATTTTTATCTATATAAACATAACTAATAAAAAAGACAATAATTATTAAAAGAAAGGAGCAATTTCAAAAATTAAATGTAAGACAGACCCTTTTTGTTGCATACTTGTTGTGTTGTATATATGATTGACAGGCTAATTAATTGTTGTTTTTTTTAATTTTAGCTTTAAAATACCATATGCAGGACCTATACTATATCCGATTAGGCGAAAACGACTTTGGACTATTTTTCTAAGTATTTCTTTCGTGGTCGTAATATTAAATGCAGCTCTGCTGGTCATATTCAATGGAGAGCTTTTGGTAAATATGCTTTCTATATACGTTTTCGAAAACGACTTTTGACAAAATATTATAAATGACGTTTAAACATTTTAGCAATGAATCAAACAGTTGATTTGTTTGTTGATTATAGAAAGGCGAGTTCTTCAATGTCTTGACAAAATAGAAAAAATAACAAAGTTTTAATTATCAATAATGAGTTAATATCAATTGCCAGTTTTCTAAATTAACAAAAGAACTTAATAAGAATAAATGAAGAATAATTTTCTCTCTGATCCACACGTTAGATAAAATTTGTAAAAAAAAACAATATACAATAAAATATGAATATTTTGAATATTTCATCGTGCCAAAATGTTTAAATTGTAAAACACAATTGCATACTTCCATATTGTTTCAGGGTTAGGGTTAGCCCTAACCATAATTAACTGTGTTTCTTTTTAATTTCATGGCTTAATACATAAAATATATTTGGCACTATTTTGTAAAATAAAATGCCACAAAGGAAGGAAATAAATAAAAAAAGTATTTATACAAAACAATATACCAATATAATAATTAATATTTAGTGGAGACCTCTCGAAATTTATTACTAGCATGCTTTAAATCATGGGTATTAAAATGGAAGGTTATAAAAAGTTCGTGTCCGTGCTACTCTGCACAACACCAGCACCATCACGACAACAACTAAATGAGAAAAACAGCAGAAATTAAAGGTTGATTCGTTAAAATTGAAGTTCATGTTATACGGACACTATGAACTTCAAATGTCAATACATTCTACTGAGCAAGTTCGGCCGAAATGATGTAAGCGATGTTGTTAAAGATGATGATATAAAACAGTAAAATTGTTGATAAATATCTGCCCTCCTTAACCATGTTTACTTTGCGGTGAAATCATTGCACTTCCGAACGGAGGTTTTTATTACACAATGTATTCATAAGTTTTGATGTTTCATTATTCGGCATTTCTGTTAGAAAGTCTCAACTATTTAATTTTATATCAATTTCATTTTCGAGGAGATAATGTAATAGGCGATAGTTTATGCCGAGTACTCGAATACCAATTTTATTATGTGATGATTAGACGTAACATAATGATAAATGTTTTACTTTAAATGATTGATGGTTGGTCTTAATTATCAGTTCTGACTGAGACCAATACTGGAACATTTGCTTCCGTGGATTTTTTTTTAGTTTAGTTAGTTTATACAAATGTATTTTAGTTACATCGCGTTGTAAGCTATAAGCTTATTGAAACACTATCAAATCTGTTTCTTGAACCAACCAATACTAAGCAATAAATGTCTAAGCAATACTTTTTCTAGCTCAAGAAAACAACGGATTGCCCCTGGCAGGTTTTTGAACCCACGCGGTCAGCAATCCTTAGATTACAAGTCGGACGCGATATCAACTAGGCCACGCCGCCATACTATTCATGTAAGGATGTATTCAAGCTAGCTCAGGGAACGTCGTTGGTTCCACTCAGGTGCCGTTCATGCCTGGTATAATACGCTGAGGGACATCTGCTGTCTTTCTAAACAGTTAAGATTGAAAGTCGTCTTATCATAAGTACTGTGTTTTTGTGACGTAATCCCCCTCCCATCCCACTATTGTCAGGCTTTTTTGAGGATTTGGGACTTTTTGTTTGCCTCAGTACAAAACGTACCAAAAATTTTAATTCTTTGAGCTTTCAACATTGTGAAAGCAATGTAAAAATATTACTTTATACCTTTCTTCTATTTCTTTAAAAAGGATGATTAAGTTTGATAGAATAAAAGTTATTTAAACAGGATTGAAATCCGAAATCTACGTTTTTACAGTCGTCCATTTCTATAAATATTAATGCAAAACGTTAATTTACTTCACAATTGTTGAAACAACATTGATTCAAGTTTGATTGTGTAGGAAGCGATAATTACGGTTATAGACAAACTTACGTATACGTTTCTGGAATTATCCAAAGCCATGATTATAACGTTAATATATTAAACCTGTTCTTCAAGTGAAGTATTTTGATTTCTCACTAAATTTAACATGGCTTAGCATAAGAGAGAAAAAAGAATAATGACATCGCTCGTAATTTTGCTTCGTATTCACAGTAATGGTACATGTTTGATATAACATTACGTTGCCGAAAAGAGTACGAATGCTTCATTGATCAGAATTATTATGTTAAACCAATCCCCTGTCACGTACATGGTATGGCTTAAATGACTACTTAAAGAGCGGTATTACCCTTATATTATTTGATAGTAAATCAAAACTTATATATTGCCATTGTAGAATATCAAGCAATAGTCTATCATGATCGTAAACGTTCAAACGTCAATGTATATGTCGATAAAACATTTTCAGCGATAGTTTGACTCTATATACTATATAAATTACAGAAGTGCTTTACTGACGCAAATATGTTCCCGCAATAGAATACATCGCCAATCGCTCAAATTTTGTAATCCTTAGGAACATTTTATTTCGCTAGCGACAATCACAACGACCTGAGTTTGTGCAGGTTTTTATATAATTGTATTTGTTACTATCAAAATTCTCTGAATATATGCTATTTACCAATTATTGTAGCATCAGATAAGTACTGAGTGTAAAAGATTTTTATTGTTTTAATATTTATATACGATAACAACAGAATGTATGTCAGTGCATTACTGGAATTGTCAACTACCTCAATTTTGTTCATTATACACTATTGTTATTTTATTTTCTTGGCTCGGGCATTTCTTGAAAGACTAATATTCATTTTAAACTGTATATTGATTTTGTTTTCAGAGAGGGAACTCAGAGGGTCAAGTTTTACATATGGCTACTCGCATGAAAGTACTTTATCAAAGGTGTATAGGAATCAAACAAGACGACGTTAAAGAGAATCGCAAATCATTGTTTAAAAATATAATTGTCAACGACAAGTACAAAATAATGTTCTGCTATGTCCCAAAGGTGGCATGTACTAATTTCTTACGTTTATTGATTTGGTTAAATAACACAAATAACGTCTTTAATACGGAGCTGATAAAAACACCCAACGTTCACATCTTAAAAAAGAGTCTGCCTAGTTTAGGTATGTTTGAACCTCAAGAAATAAAACATCGTTTAAAGCATTATAGAAAAGTTATTTTCGTTCGCGACCCATTAGTTCGTCTTATTTCAGCTTTTAGAAATAAGTTTATTGAAACAAAAAATACATATTTCATGTCACGATACGGAAAAGCAATAATACAGAGAGCTAAAAATGGCTCTCTTAAAGATATTCCAGAAATAGGTACAATAACATTTTCTGAGTTTTTAATATACTTGGCAGATAAAACAACTATCAGGCAAGGATATGAAGATCATTGGAAACCATTCAAAGATATTTGTCACCCGTGCTACATAAAATATGATTTCATTGGAAAATATGAATCAATCGAAGAGGATGTCGGATATCTTTTAAAAATGCTAAATGTTCAGAACAGATTCAAATTTCCTGAACGAGAAAAGCATTATAACCATACAGAATCGGCACATATGATTTCTTCCTTTTTCAAAGACGTTGATCCAGATATATTCAGCAAACTTATCAAAGTATACGCGGACGATTATGCTTTATTTAATTACAGCATCCCGTCCTTCTCCGTTATCACTAGTACCTAGTATTTTTACGTATATGTCATTTTATCATCTGATACAATTGATTGAAAATTGATGCAATGGATGTATCGACCGTTTCCTTTCCATGTATTACTTGTAGATGAGTGCTTTTCTTTAATCACTATGGAATTAAGTAGATATTATCATTTTGTCAAATAATGTAAATGCCGGTGCAACTTTACGTTTTCCGGATAAGTTTCTGACATGAAAATGACTAAAATTAAAAATGAGTCACGCGAAATATGTTATTACAATGTGATGTTAAATACATTCTTGTGAACAAGTAATTCATTAGTTGAAAATAAATTTTGTTTATCGTATTACTGCAGATTATAGCGGGTTGCCTGAAGCTAGTAAGTGTTTAAAATAAGTTCATTTTTTAAAATTTAAATCCATTTACAAATGCAAATGTCTATTTATACAAGTTTATTTTATACTTAAAGATTAAACAGCAATGGAGGTTTTGACTTTTGTCTGTTATTATTTATTAAAACATTGATTATTATTTATATAAAGAATACTTTACCTATGTTTACTAACCTGATATAAACTAGCATTAGAAAGTAAAAGTATCAAACATTACCGATGCTCGACCAGGGAAATAAAACTTTTTCAGCATCCACATTTTTGCTAAATACTAGCTTCAATGGATTAAAATTTTATGTTTTATTTTCCTAGAGATCACACAGCTATGAACGGTGGCACAAAGGTGACATGTGTGTGTGTTTTTATTTATCTCGTGGTCACGAGATAGTATGTCGTGGCCACGAGTTACTAAGTCGTGGCCACAAGATAGCTAAGTCGTAACAACGAGATAATTAACCAATCAGAATACACTATTTATAATATGATTTTTTTAAACTAAACAACTTACTTTTACATTTATCTTTGAAAATACTGAAAATATACACTTTGAACTTGTCTTTAGGATCATATTAGAAAGTCACCTTCCAAGGCCAATCAGACATTGATTTTGACTATAGCCCTTTGTTGGGACAATTTTGTGATCAAATTGGTCAGTTGGTACGTACTACGGCGTGTTAACCTTGTTTATACGATAACATGAGAAGGAATAAGTCCTAGTTTATTTTATTTAGAAGGGACATTGCCAATGGACACTAGATAGCCTATAAGGTATCCTTGTCTGAAATAATTATGAAACTTTTAGGTCATAGTACTCATACTCTGAAAGAACGTTGTATAATCATAAACAATCTGAGTGTAGACACACATTATCTTGGTTTTGAACATATTCAAGTGGCAAATTTAAGCATATCCGAGTACTATGACACTTGTTTAATATTCATACGAGACTGTACTTAATCTTAAACATAGCCTTCAATTTATTTCGGTATATACATATAATAATGATAAAACAACATTAATAATAATAACTACTTGGATTTATGACAATGTTATGTAACCTTTTACAGCATCATCCAATGTAATCTGCAGTAGATCTTAGAGGCCTATTATTACAAATCGTGAGGTGTCAAGAGAAGACCATTAATCTATTATTACACCTATGGTCATTTGAAAAATGTGGTGATTATGAATCATTCACAGTTTGTAAAAAGTTCCTTAAATGCGTTTAAGGTTTTATTTCTATAACGTAAGATTTTTATTTCTATATGTTCTATGTTATCTTTTTATAAAATGTTACCATGGTAACCATGAAAACTGATAAAAATTTCAATATTTGCTAACATCACACTTTCTATTATATGTATTTCAGAGACAACAAGTCAGTCAACAACACAACAAATACAAAAAATTGGAAAATAAATTATCAGAAATAGGCGCAATTTTAGAGATGTAAATTTTAGCTGAATTTATTTATACCCCACCCGTTTAAAATCATAATACGTCCATAGGAGAAGTGTCCATAAACATTAAAATTGTCATAAATGATTAGAGTTGAAGTTGTATTTTTGCACAAAAGTATAATATGGAAATAAAAATTGAAATGTGTTGTCATGGAAATAAAACTTTATATCAAATTTAATTTTTAGGTCATTTTTAATACATTTTCCATGATATTCTTTCAAATATTTTATATTTCTCCCATAAAAGTGATCAAAAACTAATTTATTTACAGTAAACATGTGTTTTCTATCATATTTATATGTAAAGAAAAAAGTGACTTAGAAATTCTTTTAAAAAATTGCCAAATAATGATAATTAATGTTTTTGCGAATTTTGGCGGCCATCTTGGACGCCATCTTGGATTTCTTGATTATCCGACCATTTGGGTTAAAATGAAATATCGTTTCGTATTCTACGAACCCTTGTGAACATTTTGGTATATAAAACTTACTGTTCCTAGACATAGACTGGTAGGGTCCTACTAACCGGTCCTCGTTTCCTACACTACATGCCATTTTCTATCTACTCTGAACATGCTTGATTCTATAATGTACAGCCCAATTTTAGATTTATTTAATTTAATTTGCTTTATCTTTATACCTCTACAAATAAGGATAAAACATCAAAATATATAGCAGACCAAGCTCATTATACAAAGCATACAATAATTAATTGTGCATACCTTGTATTGACCACTAGGGTTAGCAGTGACTGCTGCTTGTCTCCATGCATTACCCTGGTTTAGTGAACGTGTCCATATTAGGTTTCTCTTAGAGGGCTGTTGACTGTTAACAAGATATACATTCAGTGTGTTGACATCAACTCCAAACATATGTGTCCAAAACTTGACACACACAGGGGCAGAACTCTAAAAATATAACAGAAATATTATACTGATTAAAATCCAGTTATTAATGCTTATCTCTGGGAAAAGATATAAAATGACAAGCAACTTTTAACTAGATAAGCGGTCTTTGGCAGATGCACCCAATTGCCAATCAATCTATAAGCATAGTACTTTTACCATATATTTGACAAAAGATAATACAAAGCTTATCTTCCATTGCTTGTCCTAGCTTTTTTTAAGTACATGTAATAAAAGGCATACTTAAACACTGTCAATATTGATATGCCTGATGGCATGAAATTAGAAATTTTAATAAGGAGCTTAAAATGCAGTACAAATCTGCAGTTTCTTGTAATCACTCTTCCATCATCATTAACAAAACCTTATTTTAAAATTCATAATAAGACTTCTTTAGAAGAGTATGCAAATCTTATCAGATATGTCAATTTCACTATTCAAGCGATGACTAGTAATATATAATATATTCTATCCTTTAAACAACTTAGAATTTTATTTCACAAGGAAATCTTATTTATAAACTTTTTATCCTTGTTATGTGTATATATTATTAACCTGCGGTGTGTAGTTTGGTGTAGAAATTCTAGCAGTGTCATTTGGTTGCCTTGGTGCTGATGTTTCAATGTAGATATCCAGTTCGGGTTCCGGTAGTGTGATCAGAAGGTGGTCCTGTACTGGCTGAGCCAGTACCACCAGATTTCCAAGTCCAGTCAAAGTTGGGTGTGTCAGATTGGTCCTGTACGTAGTTGCAAATTGAGCTCTGCTCAAAGTCACAAGTCATAGCTGTGTTAGAAATTGAACATGTTGGTTAATGATAAATAAAAAAAATAATCACTTCAATAAAATGTTTTAACAGATATATGAAGTCATATACAAATCATATTAAAGTATCTTACCTGCTTGTTTGCAAGCTCCTAAAGACATTCTGATATCATCTAGAGCAATGTCACCACGGTAACTGATTCCTCGTAGAGCTTGGAATATAACCTGAAAAGCAGAGTCTATCATCTTTACAAACATAACATTTTTTTCCATTTTTAAAGGAATAACAATGTATTGAAAGAAATGAAAAAGCCTAAAAGCAATGTTCAATTTTCTTGGTTTTACTTCATTTTTCATAGTATATTTAGGCATGTCAGTTAATACATCAATTCACATTTGGTCAATTACTGATCAGCAATGAATAAAATAACTCTTGAAAGAACTTAACATCTATAAAACGACTTATTGTAGATGTTTCTTTTATTGTATCAAAAACTGAATACAATGTTAACCATACCTGAAAAAAAGTTGTTAATTAAAGAAAGGAACTGACATGCTTGCAAACTGTTTAACTGAAAGATAGTGTACCTTGTAGCTAGGTGAAGATGGTGCTATTGTAACTTCCCCAAGTATCCACTTGTTCCCTTGGTTACCAGTTTGTTTCCAAATATTGGTTCCAAGACCTTGTACAGTACTTGGTTTCAGGTAGACTAGAAGTGTATTGACATGGGTACCGTACATATGGTACCAGAAGCTAAGACAACGGGATTGAGTCTCGCGTATGACAGGGCTCTGAAGTATGGCGGTGTCATTTGGCTTGCGTGGTGCAGATGTTTCAATAAAGATATACCAACCATTGGCTGAAAATATTGATAGAATATTGACATGGAGAATAAAAAAATGTCATGTTTAATTTAGCAAATAACTTTTAGAAAAATTACAGCAAATACAAAAAAAAAATACAAGTCTGTTTCAATGTGAAAATCTCAAATATGTGTGACCATCAGAAGCATTAAAAACAACAAAAGATATGAAAATTGTGAACTCTGTCTGATTGAGTCCATTTGCATAGAGAAAAAATTTGGTTTCAAATATGAAATCTTTAAAAAATGGATTGGAATAGAGTTTATTTAACAATATGCTAACGTTTTCCAGTTGTGTGGTCATTTGTTGGCCCAGTAGATTTGGAACCTGTTGGTCCTTGTGTTCTTGTCCAGTCAAAGTTATCATCTGGAGATTGGGCCCACATACAAAATCCTTGCTCAAAGTTACAGTCATATTTTGTTAAAGCTGAAAATAACACAGATAATCTTTTGAAGCTCTAGAAAGAGTAAAAAAAACAAACATTTTCTTTTTCACTGTAATATAAATAATGAATGAAGATTTTGTATTGTTTCCAAACCAACAGGCTGAAACTTGGAAATTCTTTTCCAGTAGTGTACAAACCTTGCTAGCTTAAAAAACACCAATAATTCTATGTATGTGTCATTTCATGCATGATATATATATATAATGAACAATTAGGGAAACTGCTAAAACAGTTTTATAAACAAATAAATGAAGATCTTATATAATAAGTGTTACACATCTTTAAGTTTATCAATACTCATACAGTATATCATTAAAGCAGTATTAGAGTATAGTACAATACTACATACTTGGTGTTGAGCCAACAGTAACTGTGGTAACAGAACCTGGTGTTGTTGACACTGTTGTTTGTCCATTTGGATTAGCTGCTACTGGACTTACTGAAATAATGACATGTCCAGTATAATAGTAACACAGAATAGAATACCATACTATATGGGTACACATTTTATAAGTTTATATTAAACATACAATTACCATAAAGTTCATTTTAGCACATTTTTAAAGTTTAACAGAGTAACTCCTTTTGTTAAAAAGAAAAAAAACAAAAACAACAACAAAAGAAAAACAACAAAAACAGTGACAAAAACAAAACACTACAGTACTACATGTACATATAATTTTTTTTTTAAATTGGACTGAACTAGTGAAATCATTTTTAATAAACAGAAGAGACAAACCCTTTTGTTTGTTATTTACTATAAAAGAATTAGAAATATCATTAGATTAAAGTTGTTATATATTATATATATATATATATATATATATATATATATATATATACAGTGAAAGTTGAAAAAACCGGACGGCTTTCAGACTGAGGGTTTTGTCCGGTTTTCTCAGCGGTCCGGTATTCTCAATGTCCCCTTCAGCTATTCAGGATCCTATAAACCGAGCAATAACTTACAAAGGATGCTGAACGTATATTTGCATTTTCATGATCATGAGTAAGTATATTGCTTAATAAAGAAATGATAAAAATACTAAACAATATCTTTTAATTGTTTTTGTCCCATTATTGCATATAAATACAATAAAATTTTGGATATAAACGAACAGCAGTTACCTCATAACGATAAAGTCCGATTACACCCGCATATGTTTACATTTGGGTAATGGATAATGATTTAACGAACATAGTTTACTTTGTTTGTTTATAATAATGCCCCAATTGTAAATATTGCCTATACCATATTTGTCAGATAAAGATTTTTAAATTTAAATTTGTCACTTATAGACAGCTCTCGTCGATTTCTTTTAGGCCATGGAATAGACTTTAGCGCTGATAAATGTCGTTTCCGTTGCGTTGTCATTTTGGGAAATGAATATACAAAAAGAAATGCAGTATAATAATATTCTATTTTTCATTCATACTGATTTTAACTTATCAATTTCTCGTGCATTTGGGCATTTATATAAAACGGTAACATCTATACCTTACAATGAATCAAACTGTGAAAAGAGACATAATTAACTAATCAGATAATCATTGTTCCGTTACCGCTCAGTTAGCGTATTAGACACAACCAATTGATAAGTACACACCTTCGTCGTCCAGTATTGTCAGGGTAATTGTCTATATAATGGACTTTGTAGTCCCCTTTCAACCGTCCGATATTCGGTTTTTACAGATTCCGGTATTGTCAATGTTTAATACAATAGTTTAAAGAAGGGAAAATTGGGACTGAATTATTCGTCCGGTATTTAGAGAGTTCCGATTTTCTCAGCGTCCGGTTTTCTCAAATTTCACTGTATATATATATATATATATTGTTGTAAAAATTAATCTAAGAATGAAAAGAAATAATTCACAGTGTTTACTGTATAAGAACAGGATTCATTATACATGTATGTCTACCATGTTAACTGTGAGAATAAGAAATATATTGTATATTATTCTTTTCTTACTGAATAATAAATATCCATATTCCTTGTTAATTAATATAAAAACAAAAGGAAGTATAAGGATTTTATTCCTTGTTCATTAAAAGAAGTATAAATGCAGACATACTTGAACAAGAAGATCCTGTAAATGAGATATCATCTATTGCCAAATCACTAAGGTAGGAGCTTCCTCTAACACCTTCTATTACAACCTATAATGTCAAAAGAAATAATCAACATAAAGCTTCTTCCATAAATAGTAATCCAACATTTTGAAAGGCAAATTAAAAATGGCCAGTCAACATCATTCTAAATGTTCCAGTAAGTTCATTTTTTTTTTATAAAACAACATAAATCTTATTCCAGTAATGATTGCACATATTTTTCAACATAATGAGACCCCCTCCCACAAATGATGTACATATATTTAAATGCATTATTATCAAATATAAAAAAGCATTTCTATTTAAATACCCTGTACGGTTTGCTACTTTTAATTCCAATTTGACCATTTTGCCAGACTTTTACTTGACTGTCGCCGGTAAGCCTCCACAATGTCTGGTTTGTCAGATATACTGACAGCTGACCAATACCAGAACCATACATGTGGTACCAGAAGTTCATACAACTACCAGTTGTTGGATTAAACTGCTGGGTTGTAACACGTGCTGTATCTCCCTTTACTCGAGGAGCACTTGCCTCGATAAATATATACTTCCCTAAAAGGATATACAATTAATAATAATAATCATACCTTTCAACAATTTTTTTTTTTCAGAAATGTGAAAAAAATCTTTGTTGACAGCAAGTCTCTTAAGTAGGTAATGGAATTAATAATAAAGGACTATAAAATGATAGCTTTACAATTTATTTACATACATTTACACTTGTTGGTGGTATCTGTAGAACAAGTATGACTTCATGTTTACAAACATTACCGATTCAACCATATTGAATAAAGTTCTTGCAATTAATAACTCTATATTCCTTTTATATACTATGACTCATTGATAACGGAACAGAAATGCTAATTTACACATACCAATGCATAAAACATGACACACCTACCTGTGTTATCATTGTGGGTGTGATCATTCTGTGGTCCTGTATATTTGCTTGACGTCCCTCCATTTCCTATCAGCCAATCAAAATCATCTGTTCTTAGATTGGTCCATGTACACATAGTGCCATCGTCAAAGTTACAATTACCTATGAAAAAAACAACAACAATTACCTATGAAAAAAACAACAACAATTACCTATGAAAAAAACAACAACAAAGTTTTTAAAAAAAAAAAATCTTCATTTCAAAATCATATCATTGATAAAGAAAAAGATAAGAATTTACTTGGGAAATTTAGTAATAGATTTTTGTCATCAAGTATTTAGCCTATCTCTGAACCTAATGTTAGAGAACAAAAAGTCTAAATGTAATAAAAAAGAAAAAAAAAGAAAATGTATACCAAGTAATCAGATATATAACAAGAATTTGTAACAGAGTTACCAACGTCCCCCGCCCCGGGAGTTTTATATGAAGCATAAAATTGTGCTATTTCAAAAGATTGAGGTATGGATCTTAGGACATTCAGTCCAAAATTATGATCAATGCAAGATCTGCAAATGTAACAATAAATTTGTTAAAAAAATAAAATGAAACACAGAATTTAAAAATCTATCATGTTAAGCTTTGACCTCTAAGTGTGAACTTGACCTTGGAGGTAGGGGAGCAGGTGTTGTGCATGACATAACGTCTTATTATTGTGACTATTTGTGCCAAGTTATTTCAAAATCCCTTGAACTATGAAGAAGTTCTAGATTCAACACAAAATATACCCTATAACAGACTATGTTAATTTTTTACCTCTAAGTGTGACCTTGACCTTGGAGGTAGGGATGCAGGTGTTGCGCATGACACATCCTCTTATTATAGTGACTATTTGTGCGAAGTATTTTCACAATCCTTTGATCTATGAAAAAATTATAGACCTGACACAAAATATACCCTGTAACAGACTATGTAAGTATTTGACCTCCAAGTGTGACCTTGACCTTGGAGGTAGGTGACCGTTTTTTGCGCATGACACATCATCTGATTATTGTTAACAATTATGGCAAGTATTTACAAAAGTCCTTCATAGATAAGAAAGTTATGGACTGGACACGACATATACCCTCAAATAGACAATGTTGACCTTGAATGAACAAGTACGACCTTGACCCTGAAGGTACGGGTCTGGTTGTTGCGCATGACACATCGTCTTATTATAATAAACATTTGTGCCAAGTTATCTCAAATTCCTTTGATAAATGACAAAGTTATGGACCGGACACGAAATATACCCTGTAACAGACTATGTTAATATTTGACCTCCAAGTGTGACCTTGACGTTGAAGGTAGGCAGCTGGTTTTTGCGCATGACACATCGTCTGATTATTATGAACAATTATGGCAAGTATTTACAAAAACCCTTCATAGATAAGAAAGTTATGGACCGGACACGAAATATACCCTGTAACAGACTATGTTAATATTTGACCTCCAAGTGTGACCTTGACCTTGAAGGTAGGTGACTGCTTTTTCCGCATGACACATCGTCTGATAATTGTGAACAATTATGGAAAGTATTTACAAAATCCCTTCATAGATAAGAAAGTTATGGACCGGACATGAAATATACCCTGTAACAGACTATGTTAATATTTGACCTCCAAGTGTGACCTTGACCTTGAAGGTAGGTGACTGGTTTTTGCGCATGACACATCGTCTGATTATTGTGAACAATTATGGCAAGTTTTTACAAAATCCCTTCATAGATAAGAAAGTTATGGACCGGACACGACATATACCCTCAAATAGGCAATTTTGACCTTGAATGAGCAAGTGTGACCTTGACCCTGGAGGTAGGGGTCTGGTTGTTGCGCATGACAAATCGTCTTATTATAATAAACATTTGTGCCAAGTTATTTCAAATTCCTTTCATAAATGACAAAGTTATGGACCGGACACGAAAGTGTGATGGACGGACGGACAGACGGACGGACGGACAGACGGACGGACGGAGCCTATTTCTATATCCCCCATTTTTCTTCGAAAAGGCGGGGGACAATTATATTTGACCTGGTAATGTACATCCTCCACTTATTATAGAAATATCATCAATTGCCATATCACTCTGGTAACCAGTGCCTACAATGCCCTCAAACATTAATGTATAGTTAGAACTTTGTGGAATTGTAACTTGTGCCAGTTGCCAGGCAATTCCCTGGTTTCCAGTTTTGGTCCAGATTCGTTGTGGTCTTGTTCCCTGTCTAAGAATTACATTTAGTGTTCCCATACTTGCACCATTCATATTGTACCAGAAGTTTAGACAGCCTCCTCTAGATAAAGAGTAACTAGGGGAGAGAAGTTGTGCTGCGTCTCCTCTACGACGAGGTGAACTTGCTTCAATATACATGTAATGACCTGAAGAAAAAAAATATACACAATTTAGCTTATTTATGAACATTAAAATTGGCACAGCTTATTACGATAATAGATAAAACGGAAACCTTAAAAGTTTGAAATGGTAAAATTAAAAATGTTGCAGTTTGGTTTAATTGTTCAAATAAAATCAATAACAAATAGCATATAATTTTCCCTTTTATGATCTGTTTCTTGTAAAACTACAGTATTGTTTATGCTGCATGTATGGCACTATTCACCATGAAATACAAATATGAAGTAATATAAGGAAATATAAGTTTTACCTCTATTGGTACCATATGTATGGTCATTGCGAGGTCCTGTTCCAGAAGACGAGGTGCCCCCGACAGATCTTGACCAATCAAATACATCAGTCTTAACCTGAGTGTAACCACATAGACCAAGCTCAAAGTCACACTTAGCTCCAGCTGAAATAAGAACAAATCACTTAAATACCTTTGCCTTATACCCAGTGAATGTATTGTATGTCCAGTGTAACAAAGTCAAAGCAATTAGTGACAAATCTTTACATAACTCAGCCCATATAAACAGTGTACATATGAAGGTATAATATATACGAGGGGTTATCCAAAAATTCGTGGACTTTCTTTGTTGCGTAAAATATATTTGAGATATTAATTTGAAATTCTTACACTGCTTAGAAGCATTAATAACAAATAAACACAGAAAAATTCATGTGAGTAGCTTTTTACATTACAACAATATTTAATTTTACATAAACACATGTCGGCGACAGCGGCGCACTCCAAAAAATTATTGACGTCAACGTCATAATATTAACGTACAACTTGTGATTCAACGTTACGCAGTCAATGACGGTTATTGCTTCCGAAAGTTATGTCCATCACTAAATTTCTTATGCCACTTTAACACTTATGATCGTGAAATTTTAATATTTTTCGCTGTTAGTCTGCTGATTTTTATCAAATGTTTTTGTAGATGTCATTCCCGAATTACAACAAAAATTTATTTTCTAATTACCCCGTGCCCTTCATTTTCCCGTTGTAAACAATAAAGGCGTCTGATGTTTCTAGCGATATCAACAAAAATAAACGGAAATGACCTCCATTATTTTAAGGAATCACTTAAATGACATCATAGAAGAAACATGTGATGTTCAGCGGGTTTTTTACGTTTAATATTTAGTTTTTTAGCAAGAAATATACGATGACTTACTGCGTTTTTCTACCGTGCGCCGGGTCACGTGTATGTGCTTATTTAAAAGCAACATAAAATCATTATTTATTGACACAATTGACTGTTCCTTTCAAAATGTGTTGATAATATTCTACAATGTATGCTGATAAAATTTCATTACAATACACGCTGACGTTCAAAAGATATTTAAAAAGTCCACGAATTTTTGGATTACCCCTCGTATACTGTAGTTTATTTTTATAAAGACAAAGATAGACACAGAATGTTTTTTTCTTTTTTTTTATTGAGTCCTTGATGTATTCTTGAGGACTCAAACACTTAGTGAAACTATGTGAAATGTAAATGAAGTTAAATGAAAATAATATCCACACAGAACAACCTTCAAATCATCTTAAATTATTCTTATGGATGTTGCAACCTATTACTAGACAAACAGGGAAATGGGTAAGCATGGAAGGAACATTAATAAACTACCTGTATATATACAAATGTATACTTACGTGCTTGTTGACATGGTTGAGTGGAGAATGAAATGTCATCAATGGCTATATCACCACGGTAACTTGTCCCTCTTACTCCCTCAAACACTATCTGTAATTATAAAATTTTCTTTGTATGATTCCATATTCTTTTCTTTATTAATGATAAGTTCAAAATAGAAAAGTAAGCAGATGGTGGCTGTGGTTTTTTCTCATTTAATTGGGAAGAGGGCTTAGCTTCTTGATTTTGGGAAGATTTATTGCTAAAATTGCTAGTTTGGGAAGCAAAGTGAATTGATTAATTTCAAACCTTTGGGAAAACTGTATTAAGAAAATTTCTTTTGGGAAGAAGCCTTTAACAGGCCTCTATTACATAAGGTGAAAAATCACTTGTTGGTCATATGCTCCATTTTCTTCCTATCATTTACATGTTGTTGTTTTTTATCTGTACAAATGTAATTGTAACTTTATATGTCATGATAATTTCTATATCTATTATTAAAGCTTCTTAATAAAAATACTAACTTAATACTAACTTAATTCCCACTTTACCTGGAAGGAAGCTCCTTGTGTGCTTGTTATATCAACAGTTTGGAAATGCCACTGATTGTTGATAGTTCCAGTATGGCTCCAGACTGGAGTTCCAATCTGTCTCCCAAATTTGGCATATACATTTAGTGTGTTGACATCGGGTCCATACATGTGGTACCAGAATCTCAGGCATTGAGCGTTGGCACGTGGAGGAATTAATGGACTGTTAAGTCTAGCAGTATCATTAAGTCGTCTTGGACTTGATGTCTCAATGAAAGCATAATGACCTTGAGCTGAAGTAGAAAAAAGATGGTGAAAAATTTCAACACTTACATTGATTTCAATCATTTAAATTATATAAATAATTCAAATTTAATAATTAACTAAACATTCATTCTAAAGCTTACTAATGCTGATGAACACTCACTTAGTATGTAAAACTTTAATGCATAAAGATACACATTATAGTTTTGATTTTATCTGTCATTATAGTCAACTAACTTGCAATCTGGATGAAAGGCTCATTTCCCCTTTAGCCAGGAAAATGCCCAGGAGTTTTCTGGCAGATTGCTGCTATAAACAATTATCAATTAAAAGAAAATACTGGCACCGACCCCTTAATTTAAATTTCAGGACAAAATTATGATAAATATATATCATTATAATTATATAACTGTTACAAACCTGTTTCCAAGTGTGTGATCTACTGAAGGTCCTGTCTGTCCTGATGAAGTAGGACCAGTGGCCCTTGTCCAGTCAAATTTATCATCTTTAGATTTTTGCCCACTGACAGAAATCTCTCTCAAATGTACAGTCCAGTCTAGATGGGGGCACTGTAAGAAAATTTACCTTTCAATCTGACTCTTTTTAGTACAAACAGTATATACATTGTAGATATTTGGTGCTAGGAGACATGAAATAGTAGGTTGGCCGTTTAGATGATTTATACAGTATGATGATTTAGATAAGCATGTTTATTTTTTGCCTGATGATTATGATACATGTTATATTACCAAAGATTAACCGAAGATAGTATTGTCAATAGAAATGGCCATGATCTGATCGATTTTTTGATAAGCAAAGCGGTTTAAGGATTATGAATGGTCGAGTAATGTAAAAGACCCGGGTAATTATACATATATAAGTCATACGGGTAAAAGTCTAGTAGAGATTATGTGCTAGCTAGTCCTTCTATTTTAAATACCTTTTGTTATTTCAATGTCGGAATGCCTAACATATTGTCCGATCATTGTACAGTTAGTTTTAGTTTAAAATGTAATGATGTTCAAAATGTACCCAAACGGATGATAAATGTGATAGTAAAATACGTTTTACTTACAAATGGGACCCAAATAAAATTGATATGTATAAACAATCATTGACAGATGTATATTTTCAAAATTCTATTCAAACTCTTAAGGAGGATTTGGGTGTCGCTCCGAGTCCAACAGAGATTGATTCAAATGTTGATAAATTTTTCTGAAATTTATGGGAAACATTTTGTACACCTTTGTTTGGAAAGCGTATTTTTGATAAGAGGGATACAAAAACAAAACTCCGATAAACCATGGTTGATGGCGAATGTTCAAGAAAACGGAAACAGTTTTATAACAATGTTAACATTTTACAATAAAAATAAAACAGATGACAATCGTAACTTGATGGCCGATTCAAGAAAGGAATATAAAAACATGATAAGAAGCAAAAAATATTTACATAGAAAAGAAATACTGATAGGTTTATACAGTCAAGACATAAAAAATGCAAAAAATTTATTGGCAATTACTTAAGGAATCTGTATGTAAAATAATAGCTCTCCCAAAATAGGTGTAGATACATTTTGCGAATTTTTTTAGCGCAAATAAATAACCCAGATAGCCATTTTTATCAAGCTATGATGATGAATTTTATATTTTAACGAATGATTGCTCAATAACGAAATACAAAGTTAAATTTGAAGAATTAGATGTAGAAAATAACAATCACAGAAATTATCAAAGCTATAAAGCAGTTAAAGTGTAACACGGCAAGTGGACCAGATATGTTTTTAAATGAATTTTTTATAAATGGTGCTGATCAATTAAAAAGTTACTTTCATGTGTTATATTTAATAGTTGTTTAAGCATGGGTTATTTTCCCTCTGAGCAATGGAGTCAGGGTTTTGTTGTTCCAATCCATAAAGTCTGGTGATATAAATGAACCAGGAAATTACCGCGTGGAATCACATTACTAAGTACATTTGGCAAATTGTTTAGTCGAATTTTGAACAACAGACTCGATAGTTGGGCTGAAACTATTCTATATATGTTGAAGCTCAGGCAGGTTTTCAGAAAAGGTATGGGTACAACTGATAATGTTTTTGTTCTTAATGGGTTAATTAATCATTTTTTTAAATAATAAGGAATATTTGTACTGTGCATTTATAGATTTTCAAAAAAGCTTTCGATTTTGTTGTTAGGGGATATATTGTGGTACAAACTTTTGCAATGTGGGTAAGTGGAAATATATTTAAATGTTATAAAGTCAATGTATAGCAATGTTAAGTCACAAATGAAATGTAATAATGAGTTAAGTGATGCGTTTTACTGTAATTTAGGCGTTCGTCAAGGTGAAAGTCTCTCACCTTTTCTTTTTAGCATGTATTTAAATGATCTGAGCAAAAACTTTTAAATGATAGAGGTATAGAAGGTATTGATGTTGGAATGATAAAGATAGGTCTGTTGCTATACGCCGATGATATTATTCTTTTTGCGAAAAGTGCAGATGAAATTGCAACATTCTCTAAAAATTTTAGTTAGAATATTGTAATAGATGGAAATTAACAGTAAATTACGGGAAAAAAACTAAAGTCATGGTGTTCAGAAAAGCGGTAGATTACCGCAGAATTTAAGTTTCTTCTTGTTAAACATGATCAGGGAATTAGAAAATTGTATCACGTTTTAAATATTTAGGTGTTTTTATTTACGTAGGTTTTCTTAGTTCAACATGACAATTATTAGCTGGACAGGCTTTAAAAGCTATTTTCAAAAATGAATAAAATATTTATATAAATTTCAGATTTATTACCCAAACACACACTTGATTATTTGATAAGTTTAATTATGCCAATTTTAAAATGTAATTTCTCAGAAGGTATGGGGGTTTTATAAAAGCCCCAAACCATGTAGAAAGAACATTATTTAAGTTTTTGTAAAAAGATTGGTTAAGTGTTAAAGCATCTACTCAAAATGATTTTATATATGGCGAGCTTGGTTAGACAAAGTTTGATATCATATAGAAATGTTTTAGTGTTATTAAAATATTGGTTAAAATATGTACATGTTCAGAATCAAAAGTATATTAGAAACATTTATTTATGTTAAAAGAATGACGCAGTTAAGCCGAACCCAAAAATGTAACTAAACTGGGTGACTAATGTTAAGAGCTTACTAATAAAACTAGGGAACTTTTGAACATGTATGGTTAAACCCAAGGTGTTGAAAATAAAGAACTATTTTTATTGATATTAAAACAAAGGATAAAAGATATATGGCTGATTGATTTTAATAATAGATTAGGAAAACTCGACAAGAGCACTGTTTTTTAGAACAATAAGTTAGTTTTTAATTTTAGCAAATATCTAGATGTTATAAATATCCGTAAGTACAGAACAGCTTTAGCACGTTTACGCATGTCATCTCATAGATTAGCTGTAGAATCTGGAAGGTGGAGAAAACCAGAATGTGTTCCTTTTAATGAACGAATTTGTCATATATGTAATTCATTAGAAGATGAATACCATTTTGTACTTGTATGTAATATGTTTAAAAAACTTCCTACAAAATATATCAAGAGATACTATTGGAATCACCCTAGTAATTTTAAATTTATTTCTCTTATGAACACAGAAAATGTAAAACAGAATATTCGTAATTTAAGTATTTACACGTATCATGCTTTTATTAAACGTCAGCAACAGATTGATTCACTGTAGATTTTGCCAATTTTAGATGTAGATATATCTATAGCTTATTCTAGTAATACTTACTAAGACAAAACGTTTTGTAAAAATAAATTGGCTTTTAAATATAAATATTATAACCGGCTGTTGATATTCACCCTTTCTGTCAAGGGTTAACTCATCTAAAATGAAAAACGGTGACTCGAATAAAATATATATAGATATATCTATATCATTTTATAAGACTACTTTAATTTTTTTTGGTCAAACAAAATGCTTTATGGTGTATGCATAATATTTAGTACTTGACTGATAACCTAGTCATAGATACCTTTAAAAAATGGTTCCGTTGATGGAGACTCCTAATCTTTCTGTTTATAATGCCGTTGCTATGTACAGATCACCATCATGTGCTCTATATTTTCGTTTTCGTTTTTTTTCGATGGGGCATTTATGTGTTGGTGAATGTATCATATTTAGCACTACGTATCATTTGTGGATAGCGCCCCTTTCCAAGAAAGAGCAAAATCCTTAAATGATATCAACATATTATGTAGAGCATCCAACCTCGTTAACCCATATTTATTATTATATAGAAATTAATATGTTTGGTCGTATTGAATTATTTACATCATTCTGCCTCTCCCAAGCGAGATGTCATGTGAAACCACTCTTTGTTAAATATTGTTCCCTGAAGCTCTTTGGTTTGGTAATTTTATATAGCACAGTGAATCAGCTTAAAGTGTATGAGCTACTTTTCCATTTTCAAAGAATTATTTCCCGTGAATACACATGCCATCTCGACTTCTTGTCACGTATTGCCATGTTTATATTTTGTGTATGTATATATATTGATGCTTTGTCAATGGCTCTTATTAGGGCTTTAGTGCAAATAAAAAGTTCTTCTTCTTCATGTATTAAATAATGAAAGGTCTAAAAAACCTTACAGACACCTCTGATCTTATGCTTTAAAAAATTATCTTGTTGCATAATAGTTTATAATACATACGTAAATAATGTGTATATAATGTAGAAATGGTGTGCATTCTATCCCTAAAATTGCATTTGTTTCTTACCATGCCAAGTCTTATATCTACTTATATCTAAATAAATGATAAACAAATAATTGATATATAACCTGTGGGTGGGGTAGTGGATCCAGTTTTGATGGATAGTAAGTTGTTTCATTGCTGATGTGGCTGCTGTTGGTGGTTGAACTGAAAAAATATCAATTTGACATTTTAAAATCACATGATTATTTATTGTGTAATTTTATATCACAACTTTGTATTTTTTAAAGCTAAAAATCAAGAAATGGTCCTTATATCTTTTTCTCAAATACACATATGAAGTTTAAGATTTAGTAAAAATTATCAAAAATCTCAAAACATCATTTTGCAATTTTTATTAATTAAATATTTTT